CTTCTTCTACTCTGCTATTTAGACCTTCCAGTGTGTTCTTTATTTCTGATATGTCATTCTTGATCTCTTCTTGGTGGTTTTTAATTTCCAGTTGGTTTATCTTCAGCATCTCTATGTCCTTACTCATGCTATTGAGCTTCCTCAAGATCATGACTCTGAATTCTAGCTCTGTTAACTTCCCTAACTGCTCCACATTGATCTCATCTTCGGAGGAGGTCTCTTGTTCTTTCATTTGGCTTTTGTTTCTGTGTTTCACCATTTTGGCTATCACAGTGGGCTTTGGAGCCTGCCAGGTTTTCCCTGTGGGTGTTGGTGTTCTGTTGTTTGTGGCTCCCTCTCCTGGGTTTAGATGAGCGAGGGAGGACCCACGTTAAACACCAGTCAAGTCTTACTTTCCTGTTTAGAGTTGCTAGCCCAGGAATGGTACTGTTATCCTCTAACTATTTTCTGGAAGCTAGCAGTCGAGGTTACTTGAAGAGTTTTGGGTTGTCAGTTGATTGAAAAACTCCCTCATGTGCTCAGCATAAGGGGATTTCCCGAGGGTGGGTCAGATGCTGGTTGTTAGTGAGCCTCAATTAACATTTCATTGGCTTACAGGGTGGGGTTGGGTCTCCGAGGGAGGGGCTGCTACCTCTCCCCAGAGCCCTGGGAAGGAGCAATATGGCCACTGTCCTGCGTGGCTGCAACTCAGCAAAAGCTCTGAGCGCCCTCCAAATACCAAGTGTCCCCACACAGTTCCAGTCCAGTCTGCCCTCTCTCTGCTGGAGCCCAACATGAGTGGTTGTGGCTATTTTAGCCTCTGTCCTTGCTCTGCGCTGTGGAGCCGCTTGGGAGTTTAACCCAAGGGCGCTGCTCACAGCCAAGGCCACTGTTGTCTATGGGCTCTCAGCCCCCCTTTCACACCTTCGCAATCCTACCATGATCGAGTCAGTGTCCCTGGTTATATGGTCCTCGCAAGCTGCTTTTCTGTTGCTTTTTCCCCTTGATTTTTCTGTGTTATAGTTGTAATTCCAGCTTGGTTCTGATAGTCAGTCTGTGTAGCTTTTGTTCACTCCACTGCCATTTTGGAATCTCGTGCAGAAGCTTTTTAGTTTGATATAGTTCCATTTATTATTTTATTTGTTTCTCTTACCCTAGGCCTCATAAAAAGAGCTAGGAAGTCTTTCTTTTTCTTGAATTTTTTGGGATAGATTGAGGAGAATAGGTGATAGTTCTTTGAATGTTCGGTAAAACTCCCCTGTGTAGCTATTCGGACCAGGGCTTTTGTTTGCTGGGATTTATTGATTACTTCGTCTAGCTATTTAATTGTTATTGTTCTGTTTAGGTTTTCTGACTCTTCCCAGTTGAGTTTTGGAATAGTATATGATTCTAAGAATTTGTCCATTTCACCTAGGTTGTCGAATTTGTTGGCATATAATTGTTCATAGTGTTGGTTTTTTGTACAATCCTTTGTATTTCTCTGACTTTATTACCCCACTAACACCACTGGATAGATCTTCTAGACAAAAAATTAACAAGGAAACAGGGTCCTTAAATGACTAACTAGATCAGTTGGACTTAACTGATATTTACAGAACATTTCACCCCAAAGCTACAAAATATACATTTCTCTCAAGTGTGCACAAAGGACATTCTCGTAGACAGAACACATGTTAGGACACAAGGTAAGTCTCTAAAAATTCAAGAAGATTGAAATCATATCAATCATTTTCTCAGATCATAATGGCATGAAACTAGAAATCAATTACAACACTCAAAAACAATAAAAACATTCAAACACATGGAGGCTAAATAGCATGTTATTAAACAACGAATGGGTTACCAATGAAATCAAGAAAGAAATGAAAAACTTTCTAGAAACTAATAAAAATGAACACACAACAACATAAAATCTATGGGACACAGCAAAAGCAGTCCTGAGAGGGAAGTTCATAGCAATACAGGCCTACCTCAAGAAAGAAGAAAAATGTCTAATAAACTCTCTAACCCAACAACTTAAAGATTTAGAAAGAGAACAAAAGGAAAAACCCAGAGTTAGTACAAGGAAGGAAATAATAAAAATCAGATCAGAAATAAATGACATAGAGACTAAAAAAAAAAACAGTACAAAAGATCGGTGAAACCAAGAGCTTGTTCTTTGAAAAGATAAACAAGCCCGGGCCAATTTAGCTCAGTGGTTAGAGCGTCGACCCGCGGACCAAAGAGTCGTGGGTTCAATTTAGGCAAAGGACGCACGTACCTTGGTTGCAATTTGTCCCTGGCCCTGGTTGGGGTTGTGTGGGAGGCAACCAGTCAATGTGGCTCTATCACATTGATGTTTCTCTCTGTCTTTCTCTCTTCTTCCTTTCTACTCTATCTGAAGATAAAAGGAAAAAATATCCTTGGGTGAAGATTAAAAAGAAAGAAAAGATAAACAAGATTGATCATCGTTTAGCAAGACTCACCAAGAAACAGAGAACCCAAATTAATAAAATCAGAAATGAAAGAGGTGAAGAAACTCAAATGACAAGGGTGCCGAGACCATTCAATGAGTAATGAATAGTGTTTTCAACTATTGGTGCTGGGCATAATTAGTTATCCACATGCAAATGAATCAAACTGGACTCCCACCTCATATCATATTTAATAATTAACTCAGCTGGATCAAAGACCTAAATGTAGGAGCTAAAATTATAAAACACTTAGAAGACATAGGTGCATCCTTGGATTAGGAAACATTTTCTTGGATATGACACCAAAAACTCAAGCAATAAAAAAAAAATGTAGACAGCCCTGGCCAATTTGGCTCAGCGGTTGGAGCGTCGGCCTGAGGTACAGAGAAAAAAAAATGTAGACAAATTTGACTTCATCAAAATTTACTACTTGTTGTGTCAGAGTACATTATCAAGAGAGTGAAAAGAAAATCCACAAAATGGGAGAAGATACTTGCAAATTTTATATCTGACAAGTGTCTAATATCCTGTGTGTGTGTGTGTGTGTGTGTGTATTTTAAATCTTACAACTCAATTTAAACATAGGGAAAGGATTTGAATACATATTTCCCCAAGAAAAGTATATAGTTGTCCAATAAGCACATGAAAAGAAGCTCAACATCTTTAGTTTTCAGGGAAATGCAAATCAAAATCACAGTGAGATACCACTTCACACCTATTAGAATGGCTACAATAAAAAAGCATGGACGCCCTGACCAGTTTGGCTCAGCCGTTAGAGCATCGGCCTGCAGACCAGAGAGTCCTGGGTTCGGTTCCTGCTAAGGGAACTTACCTCAGTTGTGGTTCGTCCCTGGCCCCAGTTGAGGTTGTGTGGGTGGCAACCAGTCGATGTATCTCTCTCGCGTGGACGTTTCTCTCTCTCTCTCCCTTCCTCCCTCTCTCCTGCTCTATCTGAAGATAAATGCAAAAATGTCCTCGGGTGAGGATTAAAAAAAAAAAAAGCATGGAAAATAATTGTGGGTGCGGATGTGAAGAAATTGGAACTCTTAGATTGCTGGGGGTGGAGAGAAGATTGTTAAAATGAAGCAGCCACTTTTAATTTTTTTTTTTTCATCCTCACCCGAGGACATTTTTTTTCATTTTTTGTTCAGATAGAGTGGGAGGGAGAGAGAGAGAAATATCGACGTGAAAGGGACACATCGAGTGGTTGCCACCTGCACAACTCAACCAGGGCTGGAGACAAACTGCAACTGAGGTACGTGCCCCTAGCGGGAACCGAACCCGGGTCTCTCTGGACCGCGAGCCGACACTCTAACCACTGAGGCAAACCGGCCAGGGCCCCGAAGCAGCCACTTTTAAAAACTATCATACAATTTATCTGTTCCCAAAAGTATCATACATATGCTGTGGCCAGTTTGGTACAGAGGTTAGAGCATCAACCTGCAGACTAAAGGGTCTCATGTTTGACTCTCAGTCAAGGGCATGAACCTGGGTTGCAGGTTCAATCCCCAGCCCTGGTTAGAGTTGTGTGCGAGGCAACCAGTTAATGTGCCTCTCTCACATTGATGGGTTTCTCTCCCTCCTTCCTTCCCTTCCACTCTATGTAAAAAAATCAATGGAAAAATATCCTTAGGTGAGGGTTAACAAAAATATTATACATAGAGTTACCATTTGAGCCAGAAATTCCTCCCTTGGGTGTATACTCAAATTGAAAACATAGTCACACAAAAATTATTAAAATATTCATATTAGCAAGAACAACCTAAATGTTTATCACCTGATGAATGGTTAAACAAAAAGTGATGTATCCATACAATGGAATGTTATTTGGCAGTAAAAAGCAATGAAGTAGTGATACATGGATGAAACTTGAACACATTGTACTAAGTCAAAGAAACCAGCCACATATTGTATGATTTCATTTATATGAAATGTCCAGAACAGGGAAATCTATAAAGGCGGAAAGTAGATAAGGGGGGAGAGAGAATATAGAGTGATTCCTAATGTGTATGGGATTTCCTTTTGGGGGATGAGAATGTTCTGGAAATAGGTGGTACTGGTTGCATAACCATGTGAATGTAAGAAATACTGCTGAATTATATACTTCCATATAGTGAATTATATGGTATATTAATTATCATTCAATGAATGAATGATATCATATAAAAAACATTTATGCCCAATTGATCATGGCATTGTTATATGCCGTATAGATTAACTTGAAAGACAATATAGATACAGACATTCAATAAAAGATGTATAACTAAATGTGAGCCTATAGGGCTACTATATGACCATTGAAACTTTTTTAGGTCAGGTTTATTGTGATCTGATATATATAGTACACTAAAATTCTTATCATTAAACTTAAATTATTTTATCTTCTTTGGTGTTACAAATTAAGAAACACCTCTCAGTTAAACTGAGATGTTGTCTTTAAAGGAGCAAGTATAATAATAGTGGACACTTCTGTTCATATATGAAAAAGGATAGAAGAAGATGATTGTGTGTGTGTGTGTGTGTGTGTGTGTGTGTATTCCTTTTTTATTTTTATTTTTATTTTTTCAGGTCAAGCAAATAAAGTAGCCAAAGAAGCTGCTAACAGATGGACTGGTATGTATTATTATAGCACTGCTAAACTGTAGTTAAACTTCTTCCATACTTACTATGATATGAAATGCAGAAGCTATGGTGCCTGGTTTTGTTCAAGGAAAGAACATTTTTGGAAATGCATGTATTAAGCAGGCTTTACGTATTAAATCATTTTAGTTACTTAAGGCTTTTTATTTTTTTTTTATTTTTTATTTTTTTTATCCTCACCCGAGGATGTTTTTCCATTTTTTGTACAGATAGAGTGGGACGGAGAGAGAGGAAAGGAGAGAGAGAGAGAGAGAAACATCGACGTGAAGGGACACATCGAGTGGCTGCCACTCGCACGACCAACCAGGGCCGGGGACAAGCTGCAACTGAAGTACGTGCCCTTAGCGGGAACCGAACCCGGGTCTCTCCAGACCGCAGGCCGACGCTCTAACCGCTGAGCCAAACCGACCAGGGCACTCAAGGCTTTTTAAAAAGTCTTATAATACGTCATTTTGTAAAGTATGAGGTATTTTTTTATTGTTTTCAGTTTAACTTTTGTGTATCTTTTCCCAGAGAAGTCACTTAGACTAATCACTTAACCTTCATACAACTTTGAGTTTCATGAAATCCTATAAAGATTTGTCTTCTTGCTAATAATAATAACAGCTAACATTTGATAAGGGCTGACTTTAAGCCCAGCATTATAAAGAATGTCCATGGTGCATTCTCATTTTATCTCTAACAATCTTTTGAGCTAGATAGGATTATTATCCCTAATTTTAGAGATGAAACAAGACTATTAGGAGCCATGGCCACACAGGTGCTAGGCAGTAGAACAGGAATTAGAATCCACTTTTCTGAATTCAGAGTTCAAGCTCTTACCCCCTACGTGATACTGTCTCCTCTGTATATCTGCCTTCCTGTAAATGCCTCATTAATCTATTTGCCTGGTAATAGTTTTTAATGCCTTCACATGTATTACTCATCTTCATTCTGTCTCTGTGGGGGAGGGTGGGTAAGATTTTGTTAATGAAGAGTCGGAAAGCTTAGTCAAAAGCTTAATCAGTCACTGAAAAATAATGGTGTAAAGTGTTCTGGTTTTGAGTATTCTATAAATATTAAGTACTGAATTAGCAGTGGTGTTTTGCATCTAGAAAAATATATATGTGTATCTTTAAAAAAGAATAGAAAAACACAAAATCTAGTATAATATCTAGCTCATAAAAATTCAGTGTTAATCATTTTATTATAATGACAAGACAGATGATAGCTTTTCATATCGCCATTACATTCGTGCTAGGGATAACAATGCTTCTGCTGCTATAAATGCTATCTGATCTGTTTATTTTATTTACTTATTTATTTCCTTTTATTGATTTTAGAGCGAGAAGGAGAGAGAGATCGAAACATCGATTGGCTGCCTCCTGCATGCCCCCCACAGGGGATCAGGCCCACAACCTGGGCATGTGTCCTGACGGGGAATTGAACCAGTGACCTCTTGGTACATAGGTCGACGCTCAACCACTGTGCCACACTGGCCAGATTACTTGATCTGTTTAAAACACGTTACTTACTATGCTTGGAATATTTGGGCATGCTTAATAAAACAAAAAATTATAAAACAAACAAACAAAAAAGAAGCTTAGCCCTGGTCAGTTTGGCTCAGCAGTTAGAGCGTCAGCCAGAGGACCAGAGAGTCCTGGGTTTGGTTACCGCTAAGGGCATGTACCTTGGTTGCAGTTTGTCTTGGGCCCCGGTTGGGGTTATGTGGGTGGCAGCTACTCGGTGTGTCTCACATCGATGTTTCTCTCTCCCTCTTCCTCCCTTTCTTCCTCCTGCTCTATCTGAAGATAAGTGCAAAAAAAAATGTCCTTGGGTGAGGGTAAAAAAAAAAAAAGGAAGCTTAATGCCAGGTATCATATGATTAACTGAATGTTTAAAATAAAGTTTATTTCTAAGGTGAATACTAACACATCAACTAGATAAATAAAAGCAATCTCAATGTCTGTTCACCTGGAAGGGTGTCTTTGCACAGACAGTACCAATGTGCTCACAGTGGTGGCACTGGGGAATGAAATGATGGTGACTTTTCTAATTTTACACATTTTCTTTTCTTTTTTTAATCCTCACCCGAGGATATTTTTTCCATTGAATTTTAGAGAGAGTGGAAGGGGGGAGAGAGAGACAGACAAAAACATTGATTTGAGAGAGACACATCCATTGTTGCCTTCCACACCACCCCGACCAGGACCAGGGGATTGAACCTGCAACCCAGGTATGTGCCCTTGACCGGGAATAGAACCTGTGACCCTTCGGTGTTTTCCTTTTATTACACTTGGATGAAGATTTGACCATACATCTTTGTACACAATTTGTTTTATAGCCTTGGAATAAATTCCTCTAAGTAGATAACAACACTTTTTCAGTGTAAAATGCATTTTAAATTCCCCCCAGCGGACTCTGAGGATACATCTGTCCATATCTTAGTCTTTAGAGAGGGGACCCCTTTCTCCTCCTCACCCCTCTCCCTCACCCTGGCCTGTCTGTCTGGAAGCCATGACTCTGCTGGAGAGGATGTGTTCCCTTTGGGAACAGGAGCAGCTCTCATTCCGGTGCCGGTGCCGGTGCCGGAGCCCTGACCTCTGCCCTGGAAGTGAGGGAGGGGCCCCGCTGCCCTTTCCCGTCTGCATTCTGCTAAGTCAGCTTTCTTCAGTGGCACCCAATTTTCTGGGTTTCTAAATGAGAGATCTGTGTATTCAAAATACTCATGAAATATTTTCTTCTGAAATTAATTTGCCATTATGCCATTACTCTTGAAAATACAGAAATCTCCTTATTGGGTTCTTACAAATAATAGATATACAGTGATACCTCGGTTCTCGAACGCCTCGGTTTTCGACCAAATCGGTATTCGACCAGGAGATTCGAGAAACTTTTGTCTCGGAATCCGAACAAATATTTGGAACTCGAACTTCCGAGATGAGCCGAGTTGAGCCGAATGGCGTTCATTCGGCCCAGCGCGCCTTGCTCGCGTCATCAGTGTGAGTGCAGAGAGAGAGTCACGCTTTGTGGAGTCACGCTTTCCTATTGGTTTCATTGCTTCGGTTCTCAAACAATTCGGTTCTCGACCGTCCTCCTGGAACGAATTATGTTCGAGAACCGAGGTATCACTGTAGTTATATTTGGATTGTTTTATGATGGTGTTACGAATTCTCAAAAATATTTTTTTAATTTTCTTTATAGATAATATATTTGCAGTAAAATCTTGGGCCAAAAGAAAATTTGGATTTGAAGAAAATAAAATTGATAAAAATTTTGGAATTCCAGAAGACTTTGACTACATAGACTGAAATGCTCGATGTTGGTAAAGATCTGTGTGCTTTCAAATATGTAAATTCTTTATATTATCCAACCAATTGTACAGAATTGTCATTTACCTGTAATTGTGTTTACTTTATTAATTTTAAATAAAGTATAAGGTGTAGATGTTTCACATTTTTTGTTTGATGGGAGGCGGGAGGGAGGGTAGCCGTATTCCCACCATGCTCCTCAGAGCAGGCCGTCTTCCAGATTAGGTTTACAGATGATTGTTTAGAGATCAGAGCCATCATGATTTGATAACTTTTTTTTAGTTTCATTCAAATATTAGATATTATGAACTAAGGGTACCTTTGAAGGCTCTCTTATGCACATGCACTCACACATAAATGCTTGGAAATAGCCTTTAAAATCCTAGTGTCTGCTTTAGTATTTCTCAGTATTTAGTAGAAAATGTATGGGATTAATTCTCAGTATATTGCATCACATTTGCAAATTTCCCACAGGAAAAAAATAGAGAAAGTTGTTGTTCCTCAAATTTAGAGCTAGGTAGCAATTCCTTAGATAGGAAAACTAATTTCTTTTTAATTTTTGGTGCCTTTTCATCGTAAAGAACAAGCATGGGGCCCTTCGCACTTTTCTATAAGATGATATGGCCAGTTTGGCTCAGCGGTTAGAGCGTCGGCCTGCGGTCCAGAGAGACCTGGGTTCGGTTCCCGCTAAGGGCATGTACTTCAGTTGCAGTTTGTCCCCGGCCCTGGTTGGTCGTGCGGGTGGCAGCCACTCGATGTGTCCCTTCACGTCGATGTTTCTCTCTATCTCTCCCTTCCTCTCTCTCCCTCCCACTCTATCTGTACAAAAAAATGGAAAAATATCCTCGGGTGAGGATAAAAAAAAAAAAAAAGAACAAGCATGTGGCCCTTCGCACTTTTCTATAAGATGATATGGTGGTGTTTAGCATACCACACATCCCCAACTAGAGTTTGGAGATATATTATTTTTTTCAACTACCTAAAAAACAGGTTAAAAATAACCTATGTCACCCTAGCTGGTGTATCTTAGTGGTTAGAATGTCGACCCACAGACCAAAGCATCGAGGGTTTGATTCCTGGTCAAGGTCATGTACCTGGGTTGCAGGTTTGATCCCCAACCCTGGTCAGGGTGTGTGTGGAAGGCAACCAATCAATGTGTCTCTCTCACATTGATGATTCTCTGTCTCTCCCCCCACTCTTCCACTCTCTAAAAAAATCAATGGCAACCAATTGATGTGTTTCTCTCACATGATAATTCTCTGTCCCCCTGTCTTTCCCATCCCCCCCACTTCCACTCTCTCTAAAAAAATCAATGGAAAAAATATCTTCGGGTGAGGATTAAAAAAATGCATGTCCTGTGTATATATCTTTTTCCAGTTCATCGTAGGCATTTAGAGTATTTGCAGGCACTGCACTCCAAGACAAAGAAAATCAAAACTCATGTGTAATGCCTTTTACACACATGCCTTAATTTTTTTTCACACTATCCAATTTTGATCTTCTTTTAAGTAACTTGAATGAGATACTCCATATGTCTGAAATGGCATCCAAGCCATTTGTTAGTGAATCTGGCCTTTGTATTGCATGGAGTAGCTCAGGGCCCACTTCATCACTTCCTGGAGGTGAGAGGGAGCCAATCGGTTCGTCTCTGTTTGTTCTTGAGGCCAGTGTATGTTGCCTTAGGGCAACAGCTCTTCTCCCAGAAGAAAGTATTTGATAAAAGAGACAAAGGACAAAAAATAAAAACCCATCATAAGCCTTTGGGTAAAACATTAATTGTGGGAATTCCAAAATTTCTCAGACCCAATTTGCTGTTTATTAGAAAAGATGCTTTCTTGTTTAGAGAGAAGGTATGTTTAAAAAGGAAACCATTTCTAATGGTTTCTAAAAGATCCTATTTTATAAATATTTAGGCAGCTTTTTATTATTATTATTGAGTCTATTCTATGGGGCTAGCATGAGAATGACTGAGATGGGGTTTGTACATGAGCTAACTGGAGGTTGGGGTAGCTTTCTAAGCCAGTAGTGTTCTGGGACATGTTTAACTAAACTGACTACTTAAAAAGTGGGGACTGGGCCTTGTGTAAGTAGTATTTGCCTATTTCTGTGGTGTAAATACTCTCAGCATAGCCAATTTCAGGTTATCAATGTGATGACAGTGCAGAGTGGGTAAAAGATGATCAGTAGCACACCATTCTATATTTTTTTCTACCATACAGATACAATAGATTTAAATAATCTCAACAGCAAAGGTAATGGTAAAATATAAAATAGAGAGTGATGAAGATTGATCACACCTTGGGTAGACCTAGAGTCAAATTACCTGTGATCCAGGATCAAATTTGATTCAGTAAATAATATTATAATTGATACTCCTTATATCTTTTCAATGAATTATGAAGTTTAAAAAGTATTTGAGAGCTGATATCTACCTTGTCAATCCTTACACATTGCTATTTTTAAAATCTCACAATTCATAGTCTCCTAGTTAGTTTTATAATTGTTTACGGCCAGATCAAATCACTGAAATGTCCCTTTTGAGGCTGGGCCAGGACCAAAGCAATTCATAAGGATGAATCAGAATGACTTCCTCTGCTGTTAGCCACATCATTAATCTAATGGGATTATACAGTTCTTGGCCTGTGTCAGAAATAGACGCTATTATCCTTAACTGTATCCAACGTGATTCTCTTTAAGGGATTACAAAAGGAAATGACTATGTCCAGCAGCCAAGAAGCTAGAACCACCCTAATCTTGAGCAGAAAAGTCTAAATTGTAAAGCTGATAGTACTGTCTTTTGAAAATATGATTGGAGTAACAGAAAACAGTGTTCAGCCAATATGGCATCACTTGGTAAGAGCAATTAGGGATAGTGGGAAGGTATCTTAAAATTATGCATAAACTGCCCTGGCCCGTTTGGCTCAGCGGTTGGAGCGTCAGCCTGCCGTACAGAGAGACCCGGGTTCGGTTCCCGCTGGGGGCGCGTACCTCGGTTGCAGTTTGTCCCTGGCCCTGGTTGGTCGTGCGGGTGGCAGCCACTCGATGTGTCCCTTCACATCGATGTTTCTCTCTCTCTCTCTTCCTCTCTCTCCCTCCCGCTCTGTCTGAGCAGAAAATGGAGAAATGTCCTCGGGTGAGGATAAAAAAATAATAATAATTTTTTAAAAAATTATGCATAAACTCCCTTTCAGTATATGCTTCCTGAATATATAACAGGAGGAAAACTTACTACAACATGAAATGGCCAACTGTTAGTGAATTTATATTACCCCCAGCTTGATTTTTTTTTTTAAATGATTTTTGAGAGAGGTCAGGTAACATGGCTGTCTTTGGAAGTACTCACTGAATCTCAAGACTAATTTCTATTTACTAAGATTGTCAAGCAACCACCTTGACAGCCAAGTTCAAGGCCTGATTTCACAGCCCTGAGCTAAAAATGTCTTTTTATTTATTTTTTTAAAAATAATTTTTCTTGCCCTGGCCAGTTTGGCCCAGTGGTTAGAGAGTCAGCCCGCAGACCAGAGAGACCCAGGTTTGGTTCCCGCTAAGGGCACATACCTCAGTTGCGGTTTGTCCCTGGCCCTGGTAGGGGTTGTGTGAGTGGCAACCAGTTCATGTGTCTCTCTCACATTGATGTTTCTCTCTCTCTCTTCTCCCTCTCTCCCTCCCCCTCTATCTGAAATGCATAGATGTCCTCCGGTGAGGATAAAAAAATAATAATTTTTCTTTATTGATTTTAAAGAGAGAGGAAGGGAGAGGGAGAGAGAGATAGAAACATCAATGTTCAGAACATCGATTGGCCAACTCTTGCATGCCCCCCACTGGTGATCGGGCCCACAACCAGGGCATGTGTCCTGACCAGGAATTGAACTGATGACCTCTTGGGGCATGGTCAGTGCTCATCTACTGAGCTACACCAGCCGGACCTTCATTTTATTTTCTTTTTTGGGGGGTAGGGGGGAGAGGGGTACCAAATTACTTTATTTGAAGGAATGGTACAAATGAAAAGATGTAAGTGGATGATTTGGTACAAATTATAGAAAAGGTAAAGGTAACTCCAACATACACGTCCTGCTTTGGTGACCAGGGAAGTCACCCCCGTGGCTATGGGAAGCCAGCCTAAGGCTTAGCTCTGGTCACTGTCTCCCAGGGCGTGCTTGTGAAGAGATACTCTGCCCTGCCAGTTTCAGGGGCCCCCCATCTTCGAAGTTGGTTACCTGATCACCCAGTTCTTTGATGGATTTCACCTGCTCATTCAGGTGGTGCGTTTCAAGGAAGTCACACAAGTGAGGGTCATTTATGTCAGTGGCCAGTTTGTGCAAATCCAGCAGTGACTGATTCACACCTTTTTCCAAGTGTAACGCACACTCCATCGCATTCAGCCCCTTCTCCCAGTCGTCAGGTCTGGTTTCTCGATATCCTGGAGGGAGATTCGGCCACCGCGTTGGTTCTGCAGCTTCATCAGTTTCTCAGCATGTTCCCTCTGCTCGGGAGATTGGTGAAGGAAATATTTGGCAAAGTTCACAGCCACATCATCGCGGTCAGAGTAGTGAGACAGGGACAGGGAGACGTAGGAAGCATAGAGCCCCAGGTTGACCTGGCGGTGGATGGCGGCCTCGGAGTCCTGGTGGGAGTCCTGGGGCACCTGCGAGGTGGACGCGGTGGACGTCCCAGCGCTGTGAGGAGGTGGCCGAGGCTGGATCAGGTGGCTGGGGAGGTTGGGTCGAGCGCTGGTTCCGTCCAAGCACTGTTGAAGCAGGAAACCACGACTCTCCGAAGACTGTCTCCTTTTATTTTCTAACTGGTTACAATTTATGTGTCTTGAGGCTATCCGTTTTGCATATTAATCTTATATCCTGTTATCTTGCTAAATTATTTTCTGAGTTTGTTTTATGATTTATTCTCTGAGGGTTTTCAGGTATCCTATAATCTTCCAATAGACCTAGTTTTAACTTCTCTTTTTTAATTCTTATGCTAATATATTTTTTTATCTGACTGCATTGGCTAATACCACTCATAAAATTGTAATAGAGATAGAAAACATCTTTCTCTTGTTTCTAACTTTAGCGGGAATGCCTTTAGTATTTCTGCATTAAGTAAAATCCTGACTTTTTATAATATCTAACTTATAATGTTAAGGAAGTAGTTATCTAGTTCAATTTTCTCAAGTGTTTGTATAAGAAATGGTTGAACTGATCATAGGTTTTAC